AATAATTAAAGTTTTCTTGAATCTTCATGTCTCAGTAAAACCAGGAAAACTATGAAAGACCTGAAGTTTAACGACAACCTGAAGCTGAATTACTTTAATGCATTAATTGTTTTGTTTGAAAAGAAAATACTAAAGTTAAATGCCAGCCTTTATGACTCTAATGTAGGAGTTTAATTAGTGAAACCTAAAATTCACAGCATGAGACATGATGCTGAGTTCAAGAGATCGAGATTTTAAAGTTACCTTAAAGAAACCTTAAAGATCAAAGATTTCTGCATTTTAATAGATTTTGCCATAAACTCTGCAAACTGTTTTTCTCATCAAACCTTCTGGCTGTTCATGTTTTGTCTGTTGGTATTTATGGTTCCCATGGAAACCAGATGATTTAGTAGTGGCTGGATAATCTTCTGTTCATGGTGTCGGCTGGAGCCAGAAACATGGAGACGTTCCAGATCCTGTTCCAGACGGACAGATTCCTGACGACTGTCTGCCGTTCCTCTGCAGCTCCATGGACTCGTCGTCATGTTGGGTCCTTCGCTCTTCCCCTGCGGTCGGCTCCGGACCCGGCCTCTGCTCCGCCGCCTGCTCTCAGAGTTGTGGTCCGCCGCCGGCGGCCCTGCGCCGTGCAGGCGGCTCGGCACCGGGGGCGGCACCCTGCAGCCCGTGATTGGCCAAGACTCCATCGAGCTGCTGGGCCACTCCTACCCCCGCGACGACTTCACCAACATCACGCCGAAGATCCTGGCCAAGGTGGGCTTCCACCTGCAGAACCAGCCGTACCACCCGCTGTGGCTCATCAAGGAGCGCATCAAAGCTCACTTCTACAGGTGAGACCCGACGGACGGAGGTCCAGCTGCCCGGCGGACCAGAGCTCTGGAGGAACAGATTCAGGAACAGACCGGAAAAGCCTCAATAAATGCTTTAAAGACTAGAACAATTGGGTTTGGTAGAACAAGCTAAAGTTAGCGGTCAACCAGGTCCAACATCAGTGTCTGACCTCAGAAATGTAATTCTGGAAGAACGATGAAAAATGACAGGAAACGGAGTTGAAACTGTAGCAGATTGGGCCGACGTCAGGCTGAAGCCAGAGGAAGATGTTAAAGGGGCGGTGTCATGTTTTCCAGGCATAATCGGGAAACTGTGTTAAAAATAAGAGTTTATTCATCCTGTACAGGGTTAGGGGTAGTTAACCCTGCCAAACTGTCACATATTGACATTAAAAATAACTTGGGTTGTTATAAAAATGCTATGTATATCAAATATGACTTAAAAGAAATGTTACTTCCTGATTTATCACCTTGAATTTGGGCCTCTGTCTCTTTAAAAACTCCTGCTGTTTCTGAAGCTCCGCCCCCAGGAAGTCGTCCCAACATGGCTCCTCTGTTAACCCTTTAACGTTTTTACCAGCGCCGATACCTCCAGGTGTTGGACTGGTTCAGTTGGGGTTTAGTCTGGAACCAAACTGGTACCGGTTTGGTCCCAGTTCTGACCCGGTACCGGTTTGGTCCCAGTTCTGACCCGGTTCTGACTCAGTTCTGACCCGGTACCGGTTTGGTCCCAGTTTGACCCGTTTGGTCCCAGTTTGGTCCCAGTTTGACCCGTTTGGTCCCAGTTTGGCCCGTTTGGTCCCAGTTCTGACCCGGTTCTGACCCGGTTCTGACTCAGTTCTGACCCGGTACCGGTTTATAGCTCTCTCTCCTCGCCTCCATCTTTCCTCTGCAGCTCGTACGTCGGTCGCTGGGGCAACCCTCTGTTCTCCATCCACGACAACCTGAGTCCAGTGGTGACGGTGGAGCAGAACTTTGACAGGTCAGAAGCTTCCTGACGCACCAACTGGTTCTGGTTCTGGTTCTGGTTCTGGTTCTGGTTCTGGTCCTGGTCCTCCACATCGACTCCACTGACACTGTAGCTGGTTAAATGTTGTTGATTGGAAGAACGTCGAGAAAAGAGGATGGATGACGGAAGCTGGGTCCAGAACCGGTCCAGAACCAGTCCAGAACCAGTCCTCTCTGTCCTGCAGCCTGCTGATTCCTCCTGATCACCCCTGCAGGAAGCGAGGCGATAACTACTACCTGAACAGGTGAGCTGCTCCCTGCGGTGCCACGCTGACCCTAACTGGTTCTGACCCATTTGTCCTGCTGCCTCCAGAACCACCATGCTGCGGGCCCACACCTCGGCCCACCAGAGGGAGCTGGTCCGGTCCGGTCTGGACGCCTTCCTGCTGGCCGGAGACGTGTACCGGCGGGACGAGATCAACGCCAGCCACTACCCGGTCTTCCACCAGATGGAGGGGGTCCGACTCTTCTCCGACCTCGAGGTTCTGACGGCGCCGTGCGGCGGAGTGGACCGGGCCGCGGCAGAACCTCTGACTGTGTGTTCTGCAGCTGTTCTCCAGGGTCCGCGGTGGCGACGAGCTGAGCCTGTTCGAGCGCGGCGGGCGCCGGACCGCCCAGAAGCAGGAGAGCCACAGCCTGGAGGCCGTCAAGCTGGTGGAGTTCGACCTGAAGACCACCCTGACCCGACTCGTCACACACCTGTTTGGACCAGGTGAGGCCAGCCGGGCCGGGCCGGACCGATAAGATCCTCTTCAGCGACCTCACCCTCCTCTTCCTCCCCTCAGACGTGGAGGTCAGGTGGGTCGACTGCTACTTCCCCTTCACCCACCCCTCCTTCGAGATGGAGGTTCGTTTCCAGGGCGACTGGATGGAGGTGCTGGGCTGCGGCGTGATGGAGCAGGAGCTGCTGCTGTCGGGTCAGAACAGCCGACTTGATCCACACGACTGTTCAGATCACTGCCATACAGGTCATCGTTAGGGTCACGAAGGTCATCGTTAGGGTCACCAAGGCCATTGTTAGGGTCACCAAGGCCATCGTTAGGGTCGCTAAGGTCATCGTTAGGGTCACCAAGGTCATCGTTAGGGTCACGAAGGTCATCGTTAGGGTCACCAAGGTCATCGTTAGGGTCACCAAGGTCATCGTTAGGGTCACCAAGGCCATCGTTAGGGTCGCTAAGGTCATCGTTAGGGTCGCCAAGGTCATCGTTAGGGTCACCAAGGTCATCGTTAGGGTCACCAAGGTCATCGTTAGGGTCACCAAGGTCATCGTTAGGGTCACGAAGGTCATCGTTAGGGTCACTAAGGCCATCGTTAGGGTCACTAAGGTCATCGTTAGGGTCACTAAGGTCATCGTTAGGGTCACTAAGGTCATCGTTAGGGTCACGAAGGTCATCGTTAGGGTCACCAAGGTCATCGTTAGGGTCACCAAGGCCATCGTTAGGGTCACCAAGGTCATCGTTAGGGTCACCAAGGTCATCGTTAGGGTCACCAAGGTCATTGTTAGGGTCACCAAGGTCATTGTTAGGGTCACGAAGGTCATCGTTAGGGTCACTAAGGCCATCGTTAGGGTCACTAAGGTCATCGTTAGGGTCACGAAGGTCATCGTTAGGGTCACTAAGGTCATCGTTAGGGTCACTAAGGCCATCGTTAGGGTCACTAAGGCCATCGTTAGGGTCACTAAGGCCATCGTTAGGGTCACTAAGGCCATCGTTAGGGTCACCATCCAGCTGGTGGTGAACTTCAGCTGGATGAACTGACCCGTTTCCTGATCCGGTCATTCGGTTATTATTCAATGTCATCAGCATAAAAATCTTCATTTTCACTCAAAATGTTTGGATGATGTTCAGTAATTAAACGGTAACTAGGACCAGACCAGAGCCTTGTGGCTCTCCGCTACGGACAGAACCTGATTGGTGGATGGAGTCTGCACTGTAAAATATGGTGGTTGTGTCAAACTGATAAATAGTTGGTTTGCCAGGCTGTTTCTCTAAAGCTGGATCATATTTTTATTAGGCTGCTTCCAGAAAACTCAGAGTTTCTATTGAAAATATGGTATTTTAATCACAATCACACTTTGTGCCTATTTAAAATTATTTTGCTCAGTTGGACATTCCTTCAGGACGTCCACCTGTCCCCCAGGTGTCCCTCCCTGGACCCGTTACCTGTCTGACCCTCCCGCCCTGCTCGCTGCCGTCTCTCCAGGTGTATCCGGTCCGTCTCTTCCTCCGCCTGCTCTCTCGCTGTCAGGCGGCTAAGTGCTAAACTTGCTGCTTCGCCCTTGAACAGAGCCGCTCCACTCGGCGCTGCTTGTTCTAATCAATAAAACATTCTTAAAGACGCAGAGCGGCCGGATCAAACCGCCGCTCTGTTTCCACTGACACGCGTCGACGTGTGGAGGCGGGCTGTCGGCGCGCTGATGGCCGCTCTGCAGCCAGCAGCATGCTCTGGGTTCTAATGAGAACCGAACCGCTCGGAGCGGACCGGGTCCGCCTCTTTAAGACGTTCACATCGAGTTCAAACCCAGAAACAGGGAGCAGATTAAATGAGACAGGAGTTTCAGTGTGAGATAAACAGCCGAGGAGTTTGGACTGAATGACATGAACCGGACCGACGTCTGGCAGAGCTTTCCTGTTTCAAAACGGCGCTCACAGAAAAATAATGCATGAAAAGTGAAAAAAAATCATATTTCCATGAAAACAAAATGAACTCTAATGGAACAAACTGATTAGTGCGTCCAACAACGTTTCAGGGCCGTTGTGGATGGAAACAAAAGCAAATCACCACCAAAAATAAAAAATGTTTAAGATAAAAACTTTTAAATTTCTGGGTTTGACAAGTCGCCGGGTCTGAACCAGAATAGGTTCTGTTGATCTCCATCAGGCCGAGGCAGCTGTATGCTCAGTGTTCATGAACACAAGTTGCAGCTAACACCGAGTCCCGCTCCGAGTCCCGACCCGAGTCCCGACCCGAGTCCCGACTCCAGTTCCTCTCTGACCCGTTTCTCTGCAGCAGTCTCTGTGACATCATCACTCAGCTGCTTTGGAAACATCGATTTTCCCTGAGTAGTGACTGTCAGGCTCCTTTCTCACCCAGATGTTTGTTTTCTCTTCCAGTTTAAACTTTCTCCTGTCTGTGCAACCAGAACATGCATCATAGAAACATTTTATGAAGATATTACAGCTCTGAGGCGTGACCTTTGAACTGGCCATCAGATTACTGAGATGATCAGACTTAACCTGATAGCATTCTGGCTAACGCCGGCATAGTGAAAAATATTATTTATTTGCACTTTCTTTGTAATAAATAATTAAATTCAAAGCAATGGTGGGAAGCACTAGCTAAACAATTAGCTGCACTAATCCTAAAGCACTGACTATAAGCATTAGGTATGCTAGCGCTAAAGCTGAACACCAACATGGAGTTAGTGGAAAAATGTCAAACTTTATTCAACTAAAAGTTTAGAAAAATACCAAGTAGCCAGAAAAATTAATTTCTCGTGACAAATTTCTTTATTTTCCACAATTCCACTTAGCTGGAGACAGCATACTTTAGCTAAGGTTGAGGCTCTAAGTGTTTTCTAAGTTAGCAAAGGTGCTAAAGCGCTAACCTACAAAATTAGCTACACTGTAAGAGGATTAGCAGGATTTCTCGTAACAAATTTCTTAATCTCTCACAATTCCACTTAGCTTGGTGCAGCGCCTCATCCTTGGCCAAAGGGCGCTAAATGTTTTCAAAGTTAGCAAAGCTGCTAAAGCGTTGAATGGAAGATTAGCTCCACTATTGGCGCATTAGCAGAGGAAGTGAGCGTACCACTGAAGACGACCAGCCTCTTTCACTGAGCTGTTGTTTTTATCCTTGAACTGTTTCTGTGTTGTTAAGTGTTTTTGTAAAGCATTTGTGTTTTTCCTGCGGTTTCATCATCGCGGCTGACATGTGTATCGGCTGGACACTCCGATCATCCGAGTCCTCATTCACAATCTGCCTGGAAAACCCTTACATCCAGTTAAAGTCACTCTGCTGACAGTTTACACACACACACACACACACGCACACACACACACACACACACACACACACACACACATCTCTGTTCTCATTTTCACTCTTTCAACACTCCTCACCCTCTCCACCTCCCATACGTATCCACTGCGGCAATGTGGCTCGTTGCCTTGGAAACCACTCATTCACCCCCCCATCCCACACCAACCCCATCCCCAACCAGCATCACCCCTCCTCCATCCACCCTACACACACACACACACACACACACACTTCTTTTCTGCAGCACAGAGGAGACAATAAGGCAGAAGTGGCAAAGACGAGGGGAAGTTAATGTGATGAAGAGGAGGGAGTGATGAAGAGGAGGAGGGGGGTGAGGAGATATTAATGGGACGATGAAGAGGAGGCTTAGATGGGTGGCAGGACCTGATCTCCACAAGGAGGCGGAAACAGGGGCACCAGTTGGTGTTGGCTGGTGTGTGTGTGTGTGTGTGTGTGTGTGTGTGTGTGTTTTATTTAATGGTGGGAAGCGTGACGGCCATATGTTTTGCCGGAGGCTCGTCCCGATGAGGGAGGAGGGAGTTAATGAGAGGAGGAGGAGCGTGATGAAGGTGGTGAAAGTTGGCTGAGTATTATGGGATGTGTCAGAGGTTAATGTGCTAATGGATAAAAATAATTTAATATAAACTAAAACTCAACTCCTGATGGTGATTAAGAAGAGATTTTCCTCCATAACCAGTCAGCTTCCTGTGTGTTTCTGTCATTACCAGTTAATCACCAGTTGATGGAAACCAGTTCACTGCCAG